TCAAATGAGATAATAATTGTAAAGTGCTTAGTACAATACCTGGCACAAAGTAAGCACTATAAAAATGTTAGCTATCATTATCATTATTATTATTATTATCATCATCATCATTATTATATGCCACACATCATTTTAGATTATAGTAATTTGCCTCTTGTCATATCCTCCTAGTAGGATGTCCCATGAAAGAAAGGACCGTCTCACCTCATTTGGCCATCTTCTGAAACACTTGAGTGGTAGACGCTAGTTCCCATGCAGTATATGCCAATATATTGTGAATGAGAATCTCATGTAACTCCTCTGAAAGTGTCAAGAGGTAATTTGAAAAAGCCCTTTCTTTTTTTTAAAGGGCTATAAGAAACTAACTAAAGATTACAGCCAAGGGCAACTACTAAGTAGTGGTGTATGGGCCAAAAGGATGTCAGAGCTCTGAATCATTTCAGCAAGGATACTCTCTAGGAAGTCAGATTGTCTTATCTTCTCTTATACAAATACCCATCAGGAAGGGAAGGAAGTTAGAACTGCTCTCCTTAACCCCAAAGTTATGTCTCCATCAAGCCATTCCTTTAAGCAACAATTCAGGCTCCTTATCCACCATGATGGAATACAGAATAAATCAGATTAAAATAAATAACAAGGGCCAACCTTGGAGGAGAAAGAGTAGAAAGGTGGTAGAGAGAATGAGTAAATACAAAAGGGAAGCCTAAGGGAGGAAGAAACAGTGAGGTGGTACAGTGGATAGATTGGTGGGCCTGGAGTCAGGAAGACCTGAGTTCAAATCCAGCCTCAGACACTTACTAGCTATATGACCCTAGACAAGTCACTTAACCCTGTTTGCCTCAGTTCCTCATTTGAAAAATAAGCTGAAAAGGGAAATGGCAAACCATTCCAGAAACCTCAAATGGGGTTACAAAGAGTTGGACACAACTAAAACATCTGAACAACAATGAGGAAAAAGAAAGATAAAAAAGGGAAGAAAAGGGAGTAGAGAAAATGATAAAACCCCCAAATCCTTGCCTTTGTGATGGCTTACAGAAGGAGATATATGGACTCCTGGTAGCTATATGAACCTGTTCTTTTACAGCACCAGTTCCTAAACAAACTTCTCTTTCTCTAATCAAATTTTCAGCAGACACAATGCTAGGAGGAAGAGTCAACACACTGAATGATTAAGTTAGGATCCAAAAAAAGAGGCAGGCAGGCTGAGATGTTGGATCGAACCTCATAAGATGAATTCTTAATAGGCTTAAATGTAAAGTCCCATACTTGAGTTCAAAAAATCGATGTCACATGTACAAAGATGGGGGAAAGATGAAAAAGAAGCAGTTAATATGAAAAAACATGGAGGCTTTAGTGGACCACAAACTCAATATGGATCAAAAATGTGACAAAAAAGCCAAAAATGGTGCCCTAAGAAAGGCATGGTGTCCTGAATTAGAGAGGTGACAATCCTGCTATCTGCTCTGGTAAGACCACATTTAGAATCCACCTTTGGTGGATGAGGATAAACTAGGGAAGCCTTCCTAGAGGAGATAGAATTTGAGCTGTACATTAAAGCCGGGGCTTCTAAAAGCTGACCTCCTCTAGTAACTTCATAGTTCTTTGCATGCATTCTTCTAACTGTCTAGTTCAGGTGTGAGGAATCTGCAGCCTCGAAGCCACATGTGGTCCTATAGGTCCTCAAGTGTGGCCCTTTGACTGAATCCAAACTTCACAGAACAAATCCCCTTAATAAAAGGATTTGTTCTGTAAAACTTGGACTCAGTCAAAAGGCCACACCTGAGGACCTAGAAGGACTCATGTAGCCTTGAGGCCGCAGGTTCCCAACCCCTGTTTAAAATGCTCTGTATTGGGGAAGCTAGGTGGTGCAGTGGATAGAGCACCAGCCCTGCAGTCAGGAGGACCTGAGTTCAAATCTGGCCTCAGAACAAACACTTGACACTTACTAGCTGTGTGACCCTGGGCAAGTCACTTAACCCCAATTGCCTAAAAATGAAAATACAAAATATTTTAAAAATAAATAAAATAAAATGTTCTGTATTGTGAACTCTAGAGAACATTCTTTGTTGATGGATGCTTAGTAAGAAAGTATTTAAGAAAACATTTCTTCTAAGTTTCTAGATAAAAAGTGAGATTTAGATGGCATTTTCAGTACACAGCTCTAAATATGAACACTTAATATCTTATTTTTATAATCTAAACATTTCCCAATGTTATGCTTCCATCTGATCAGAGAATGGTAAGATTATATAACTTAAACCTCTAATGGCTAAAAATAATAAACTACCCAAACTTGGAGTTGTCCTAAAATCTCTAAAATGTTTCCCCTAATAGTATGCATTCTGAAGAAATAGCAAAGTTTGGGGTCAGAGACTAATTTTATCAAAATGCATGCCATTCATGCATGGAATTACTAAGTATCATGCCATAATTCAAAACACAGGGAATAAAATCAGTTATAAAAAGTGATTCACGTATTTGAGTGATTGCAAATAAAATTTAGATTGTCATTCCTTCACAGCAAGGAAGGTTCCCTAATCCAAACCTCAAATTCTTTTAACTTAGCTAATCAAATTAATATTGTTCTGCATAGTGACTTTAAAAACATAGTAACCACACACAACTAACTCACTTGGGTTCTGTCAATTTTTAAACCATCAAAATTTTGGCTTTAATTGGAACTTAACAACATACTATTTGGGTTGAGTTTTCTCACATAAAGGAAACTAGTATCTATGAAACAGCTCAGTTACCCAGATTAAAAGAAATGGTGCTGTGTTTAATGTGTAGTATTTATTTCTAGGTTCTTTTTAGCAAAGAACATTAAAACTTAGCAGCATCAGGATAGACAAGGCCAGAATAGAAGCAGACTTATTAAACCTCCTCAAGAAGACATGTGGAATCCCAAGGCTGCCATCTCCATTACTACTGTATTAAGCAAAGTTCTCCCCAGTAACAGGCACCTTGAGCCAAACTAACTCCTGACCACAATGTTAAAATGAGATTTCCAGACCACCTGTGCGCTTCAGTAGCATTGGCACTTTTACCTACAAAGGAGCCTGCACTTCACATCTGTAAGTACTTTGACAGTGAAGTATAAGATGCCTGAATTTTATTACAAGTTGCCTGGATTTTCCAAAAGGGGGCATAAAAAAGTTTGGGGGGTTTTTATCCATTTTATTAGCTTGAACATTAATATTTTGGTAAGCTTATTTTTTAAACTTCCCTCCCACCCAAACCCTTGATGCCTGATTTTTTTTTTCATATACACTGTCTTTGGACAACAGATCCTTCCAAAGAAACATTAAGTCCAGCTCCCTACAGAGGACATTCCTTGAAAATGGTTAAGCAAACAGTGGTTCAATGTGATATTACACATTACTTTCCATTATTGCAATTCACCATTTGGTAACAGAAATAAAAGAGGCTGACATCTTGTTCTTAAAGGATTCATGGCTTATTGAAACTTGTCAGCCTTCTATCTTTAATTATAAATTTTCTTTCATTTACAAATACACTACTGACTGTATTAATATCCTCTTGGCAAGGATGTACCCTGAAAAGAGTTTGTGTTGAATCATTCACACATAGAACTTAAAATTTAAAACAAGAAAAACATCATCAATCCCAGGGATTCTTAATCTTTTTTATGTCATAGACCCCTTTGGAAGTCTGGCAAGGCCTAAGCAGAATACACAGAATTCCAAGGAAACCAATTTTATTGAAATGTTGTTGTTCTTCAGTCTTTTCAGTCATGTTCAACTCTTCATGACCCATTTTGGGAAAGACACTGAACTGATTTGCCATTTCCTTCTCCACCTTATTTAAAGAGGAGGCAAACAGGGTTAAGTGGCTTGCCCATGGTCACACAGTTACTAAGTGTCTAGGGCTGGATTAGAACTCAGGAAAATGAATCTTCTTGACTCTAGGCCTGGCACTCTATCTACTGCACCACCTAGCAGTGTGCTGAAATACAGTGAAATAAGTGTGGTTTTTTTTTGTCAAAATAAGTTCATTGACCTTAGCCTAAGAACCTCTTATTTTAGTCAAATTCCTTCATTCCACAGATAAGGAATCAAGGCTCTGAAAGGAGGAGTTATTAAAGATTATAGCTAGATCACATCAGAAGTTATCTAAAGAACCCTGTAATGAAAAAAAAAAACACAGCAGCTGCTATGATACTCTCTGCCACTTCAGGGTTATCTCTGCACGTCTTCAATAGTACTAATACTCCATATGTATTAACCATAGGCTAAGTCATTTAAATTCAATGAACCTTAGTTTCCTCATCTGTAAAATGATAAGAAAATTATATGTTCCACCAGAATTAACAACCAGGGGTTGTTACAAGAAAAGCACTTGAGCAACCTCAAAAAACAAGATAGATACGGATTATTATTGTTATTATTATGTGGTATTATATAGGAACTAAGCAGCATATACAGTACAGCTAATTACAGTACAGACTGCTGGGGTCAATAAGCACCAAGGCAGCAAATGTCACTTCAGATAAAATGTGTTAAAAGTAAAAATGTGAACAGATAAAGATAGTGAGATATAATGACTTGGTCAGCTTTGGAAGTCAAGAAGACCTAAGTTCAAGTCCTATACCTCTGATACATAGGAACAAATCAATGACCAAAGCTACTCTCTGAGATTTTAAGTTGAAGTGAGTCGTCTGTACGTATCAGTTGGAAAAAATTTCCCAGTCAGGGAGTTTCCCACTCTGGTGAAATCTCAGATCCCACGCAAACAATAACAACAAAGAAAAGAATTAAAGGGAGGGATGAAAAGGGAGATCAGAAATCAAAAGAAAAGGAAGAACTCCCAGAAAAGAGGGAGGAAAAGGTAAAGGACAGGTACTCAAGAAAAAAGATAAAATTCCCAGAGGTATATCCTTAAAGCCTTGTTTTTATGATAGATTCAGACAAAAGAGTCTGCCTATTACAGACTTGCATTTCAGATACGAAAAAGGCTAGGTCTGAAGACAATTTACTTACCAAACCTGCTATTGGTGTAGACAAACGATTGATCTTCTTAATGATTCCAGGCTTAAGCTTATTAATCAAACTGAAAGAGAATGCAGAAAAAGTGTATTAAATCACAACTTTCAACATCTACTCAAGGTTCTTTAATGAAGTATCTAAAATGAGAAGGAAATTCTAGAAAGGTTTACTCACAAGACATCCTCATTTAAGAATATAATACTCTGCCGTCCAGGCCCAATTTTCTCATAAAAAGGAAACAACTATGTAAGAAAAATTATCTACTGCCCAAATTAAGAGCAACAATATTATGATTAATATTCAGTATTCACTTCTAGGTTCCCCATAAAAAGAATCCTTGAAAGAGATGAAAATTTCTACCCGGAGTAAATTGTATAGCTGTCTTTTAGTTTCAAATTTATTAGGGAATGGTTAAAATTAGCTCCATTTGAAACAGCCAGGAAATGACTTCAGGATCATTTCAACTTAGGTCAATCCAATTGGTACTTGTCCAAAGCACAAGAAAAGAAAATTAAATGATGATGTAAAAAATAATGATATAATTTATGTTTCTCTTGGTAGGTTCTATGCATACTAATAATACTGTTTCTCAATGGGAACCTCATTAAGTGGAATGCTACTCCCCAAAGTGTGCTGAAAAGTTTAAAAGATACAATATAGGGTGACATAGCTCCTCCCTCCCCCACTATTAACTCATTCAAGCCTGGGCTTGAAAACTCTGATACTATAGTCTGAATGCAATTTTCAGCTTCAGATCCTAAAACTCCTCCACCTGGGGCCAGAAGGCCTAACATAATTACAGTAAAGTCTATTATTATACTAAGGTTCTTGTTACTTTGACACATGATGAAAATGTATTTTAACACTACAGAGAGAGCAAAACACTTTTCAGCACTGATAGAACCCTATAAACTTCTAGAAAATAGAAACTATATTTTGTTTACTGGCCTAGCAAATGCTAGATGTTGGTTATAATGGTAAAGGGGAAGACAAGATAGGATATTGGGCTGAAATTATTAGTAAACTATACCTTACCTTGTAGGAAAAATCTATTTTATAGTGCAGGAGAAAATAATTTGACTCCTTCAATCAGAGGACCTGGGTTCAAATCTTTATTCTAACTCTTATTTTCACTTTACCTCCCTAGCCTCAGTTTCTTCATCTATAAAATTAGGGAGTTATATCTGATGGCCTCCCTTACAAAACTAAATCTATGATAATACTAACACTAGAATTTATGAAGTACAATGTAACACCTACCAAAAGAGTGTCCTGAAATAATGACTTGAAGACTTCATAAGGAGTATCTCCTTAACTTCAAAGAGGAAGAAAAGATGAAAGAAAAGAGATCAAATATTTTTAAAATCACTGAAATGTTCAGCATAAGAAAAAAGCATCAGGGCAAAAAGAGAACTGGAACTGAGTAAGAATGTGTTTAAAATTTCTTTCAATCAGACATGCCTTTAATGTCCAGAAATTATAGGACAGACTGCCTCAGAGTCAGCATAACCTGGGCTCAAGTACTGATATATACTGACTAGGTAACATTAGGTAAAGTACTTAACCTGTCAACCAGTCACAGTGAGCCTCTACTGGAGAGAGGGAGAGAAGGAGAGAGGGAGAGAGGAAGGGGGGGGGAGAGAGAGAGAGAGAGAGAGAGAGAGAGAGAGAGAGAGAGAGAGAGAGAGAGAGAGAGAGAGAGAGAGAACAAACAGTAGCTTTTATAAGTGGAAAAAATTACTAGGAGTTTCTTAAATGAAGATTTTCAAAGTATTTTCACACCCAAATATATTTAGAGAACACAGTAATTCAAATGATAACACATCTACCCTCATTAACTTAAGCACATTCTATGCCTGCTATGACAAGCTTGATCCTTTGACCTGTATGCTTAAAGACTGAGTCTCCATAAATCCAAGTTGGGAAGGCCTTGGCTCCAAAAGACATTTGACACCTTCCAAAGTGACAAGGAAAGATAATCATTTGCAAAAAAAAAAAAAGGCACCAATTGCAAAGTATGTCACTGTTCACTAGACATGCATTTAATTCTAGAAAACAAAGCACTTTCTCTACAATACATAGAAAAAACAAAATTAGGGAAGAATTACTTCAATAGAAACAGCATCAAGCACCACATAGAACAGAAAAATTAGCATCTCTGTCTGGTATCTTGTGAGTGGCTCTTTTAGGCTGACATGCCCTAGAAGAGCAATATTTCAGTGGCACATCAGTCAGGGTCAGAAGTCAAAAGCCAGGGCAATATCATGGATTTCAAGGAAGCATGCCTCCATTTTTAACCTTGCTGGAATAAGAGAGAGTTATATAAATTCCAGTTCCACCCACTTGAGTCATGGTTGACCTTGGACAAGTTATTCAATTTATCCATGTGCTTCAGTTATCTCATTTGTATTGTAGGCTTAGTAATGCTAGGAGAATTTTTCATAGCGTCATTTCTGAAAATAGATATTATTATAGCTAACTTTCAATGACCAGCCTAAGAGAAGGTGCATATGAGGGCTTGAAGTAGGGAAAAGAAAGATAGAAGTAACATAAACAAAGTCTTAGATAACAAGAAGTTACGGTGTTTGTTTTGCTTTGCTTTTGTTTTGCTTCACCCTTCCTTGACACAACTTGACCAGACTAGTCCTAAGGTAGCAGCAACCTAAGGGGGAATAGCATTTACCTTCCTTTCCCTCATGAACCCTCTAGTATAAGAGCTCACAGTGACCAGCAAAACAGCAAAAAGGAAGAAGACAGAAACAAAAGTCAAAACACTCCTGAAATTACTCCTTTAAAAAAAAACCTGGTGTTAAGGAAATGGAGAAAAACGTTGCATTATTTCATTATATAGTCAGTGTTTAGTTATCAGTTCTGGGCACTGAACTTCGGAGAAAATGCCAACACAACTTTGGCAAAGGAAGCATAACTCATCTAGTTGGGCATTGTGAGAGGAATACATATAATTATGGGAAGAGTCCTTGGGCTATTTCTCCTAGGAATTGATTTGGGTAAACAGAACTGTTTCCAAATTTAAGGGTCTAAGTGAGCTTTTGGCAATAGTTATTTTTGTAGGTCAGAATCACAGGATCTTATATTTGACTTTAGAGCTGGATGAAATCTAAGAATTCCTCAGTTCTAACATTTCATTCATCACAGGAAGAAACTGAGGACTAGGAAGCTCAAGTGACTTGCCTAGGGTCACAGGGTACTAAATATAATAGGACCATCAAATTAGAGCTTAAAGGGGCCTCAAAGGCAGTATGGTCCAATCCCCTCTTTATACAGATGAGAAAACTGAGATGGAGGATTAAGTGACAAGTTCACTCCTCTCTGCATCTGCTGCTCTGCCTGGTTTCAACTCCAGGAACAAGACTCCTCTCCTTGATTGACACTACTTCCCTCCTCCTCTCCCTTTTGATTGCAGCTCTATAGGGCGGAGTACCAAACAACTGCCAAAGCTTTCCTCTATAGAGGGCAGAAGCTGGACTTTCAGTTCACTCTGCTGTGCATCTTCTGCCTGGTTTCAACTGTAAGATGCCCCTGCACCGGCGACTCCTGGCTTCCCCTTCCCTGCTTTCCCGTTTCCTTTTGTGGTGGTGTATTGTGTGTTCTCTTCCTCTTTAGATTGTAAGTCCGTTAAGGGCAGGGACTATCTTTTTATTAATTGGCACTTAACACAGTGCCTGGAAAGCAGCTGTAGATGCTTAATGTATGTTTATTGGAATGGAAAGTATCAGAGGCAAAATTCAAACCAGGTCCTCAGACTAGAGATACAGTGTTTTTTTCAACTATACAATACTGCTGATTTCTGTCCAAGTGCAGGGATCTTCAATTTGTACCGTTAGAGAGACAGGGAATACAAGATTCCTAAATTATAAGGTTTCTATAGAGATAACATATGCTACCATTATCCTGATGCTTTATGATTTTGTAAATATAACAACATGCAATACATATCAGCATATACAATTGGATCTCAATTGGTACATATAGAGAATCCTGTGAAGTGCTCTCATGTTTCAAATTCACACTGTTCAAAGTTATAAGTATGTAAACTAGTCTTTGGTTTCAGCCCAACATAATGATGACATGCAAATTCAAATCATGTAACCACTTCAGGAGGACTCATTATTTTCACTAACCAAAATCTAGCTGCACATCAAATATTTTCAGTTTTTTAAATTAAATTTTAGTTCCTACAATGGATAATATGGTATAACAGAAAGAGAATTAAGACCTGAAATCAGAAAGATTCTTCAGTTCAAGTAGTATCTCCACCATTAACTAGCTGTAGGACTTTTTACAAATTATAACTTTTCTCTAAGACTCAATTTGCTCACCTCTAAAGACAAAAAATAATACTCAGACTACGTAGCTCACAGGGTAGCTAAAGGGCTCCTCAAGTCCTGGGCCTGGAGTCAGAGAGATTCAACTTCCTGAGTTCAAATCCAGCCTCAAACACTTAGTAGCTCTGTGACCCTGGGCAAGTTACTTAAGCCTGCTTGCCTCAGTTTCCTCATCCATAAAATGATCTGGAGAAGGAAATGGCAAACCACTCTAGTATCTTTGCCAAGAAAACCCCAAATGGGGTCAAAAGAGTCAGACACAACTGAAACCACTGACAACAACAAAAACCTGCTTCATGACGTTCTTGCTGGGATACAGGGAGATCAGGTATGTCAAGTGATTGGTAAAGCATAAAAGACTTTTTATATGTAATTATCATCCCATTAAGAAAAAGCTGAGGTCACAGAAGGAGTCAGCATGGCATAATTAAGAAAACAGGCTCTAGAGACAGAAGATCTGGTTCTACCTTTGCCAAGTCATTTAACCAGGCTTCAGTTTGCTCATCTTTTAAATGGGATGCTTGGCCTCTGAAGTCCTCCTAAGATCTAGTTCTATGATCCTATTATGACTTGAAACAATAAACACACAAGTTAGCAGGTGAGAGGGAGCAAAACATAGTGGATACCTTGCTGTTTTAAACATTTACTTGATTTCTGACTGCACACAGGGCAACTATAAGATAGAGATAATACTGTAGCCTACCCCCACAGGGTTGTT